GAGAGAGAAGAGAGATAGAGAGAGAGAGAGAGAGATGAGGAGAGAGAGAGAGAGAGGAGGAGAGAGAGAGAGAGAGGAGAGGAGGGAGGGGAGAGAGAGAGAGAGAGAGGAGAGGAGAGAGAGAGCGAGAGAGAGAGAGGGAGAGAGAGAGAGAGAGAGAGGAGAGAGAGAGAGGGAGAGAGAGAGGAGGAGAGAGAGAGAGAGAGAAGAGAGAGAGGGAGAGAGAGAAAGAGAGAGAGAAGATAGAGGGAGAGAGAGAGGAGGAGAGGAGAGAGAAGAGAGAGAGAGAGAGAGAGAGCGAGGAGGAGGAGAGAGAGAGAGAGAGAGAGAGAGAGAGAAGCGAGAGACGAGAGAGCGAGAGAGAGAGAGAGCGAGATTGAGAGAGAGAGATAGATAGAGAGAGCGAGATGAGAATGAGAGAGAGAGAGAGAGAGTGAGAGAGAGAGAGAAGGAGAGAGGCTGTGGGAGGGTTTTTACGCCTGTGGTTTTCTTATAACCGTCACAAATAGAAAGGCAGCAAGTAGGGCTTCCTTCACTTCTTGAAGAAAGGTTCCGCAGCCGCCGGTGGCATATGTTATTCTCAGCGCGTTTTCTTCAATGTATCTATGACATAAACTGGTGAATGCTATGCGGATGCAGTTGGTCTGATTTGCGTTGGGATGATCGGCTGATTGATCATACTGATCAAAGTGGCAGTTTTCTATACACCTGGACCTGCGAGCTCGGACCTGGACCTGAACCTTTGGCATTTCCAAACCATCGATCGAAATACAGAGATGCCCAAGCCTTTTTGTTGTTGCGGTCACATTTTCGTACCTCTTTCATGAGGCTGTACCCCTCCCCCTCCCATGTTTATACCCTCTCTTTAAATAACACAACAAACTTAATGCCGAAGACATTGAAGAACCGCTCAGGATGAATCATTAGGAACCCCTTCCAATGATTCGTCCTGGCTTTCATATATAATGAGGCTTTCGTAACCTCAGTCGCCTTTTCTTTTTACACTACCCCTGCCAAGGAACACCCTGGTGATGCTTCGTTGGGATGCTCTTGTCCAGCTGATCCCACTGGAATCCCGCTTGGAACAATACACCCGCCAACACTAGAACACCCCACCGGAAAGCAGTGTTTGTTTTCACTGCCATTTACGAAACACGGCAATGGCGGGGACACAAGAGTGGGAGTTATGCACTTCGGAACAAAATATCTTGAACGTTTGGGAGGCATGTGAGACCTAGGTAGGCTCCCGGAGTACGGAGCCCACCTAGGTCGCCCATGGGTCATCCCGCCACCGTCCCCAACAACCGGAAATATGTGTCGACACCCATGGTCAGAAGCCATAAGTTTGAGAAGTGCCAATAAGGTGAAAAATGAACGAATGTATCTGTTAAAACGGCTGGTCCCTTATGGCAAAGGGCGAAATGAAATCTGGGGACTTTCAAGTTTGATGACCTTGCTTGAAGTAAAGTATCATTTCTTGGCTAGGAATTTAAGATGGCATTGAAGGGCTAAAGCTTGTTTACGCAACCACGATGGAGAGCGTGTGCAGGTGTTTGTTTGTGATTGGGGCTTTACGACGCACTCAGCTGCTGGGACTATATGGCGTCGCCTGCCTCTCACCCTGGCGGGAGGGGCGGGCACCGCGGGGAATCGAACCACGTACCTCTGGTTTCCCAGACGCGCAGTAGCCAACGCAGACGCGCTAACCACTACAAAACCGGCCCCTCCCCCTTCCCCCCCCCGCAGAGTGTGCAGGGTTTCCCATCGGGATGAAGAGGCACAACTGATTTTTTTTGTTGAAGACCGATTATAGTGCGCCGCTGGCTGGCGCTGGCGCACACAGTTTTTACGGGTCGTTTTCTTATTTTAAGGCGCCTATCTGACATTTTTGACTGCCAGTATTGCTAGCATATATTGTACAAATCTTTACACATAGTCGTATTTATCTCAACATGTATGTGTGCATACTTTTACGTTTACCTTTGCATACACATGCAAAAATGCATGCATACATACGTTATACCCATAGACATAACTTTTCATGCGGTAATTGGGTAAGAACGGGCACGTGCACCCGTGTGTTACTGTGTTCGTGCGCTCCTGCTTATGATGCAGTCATGCAGTTTGATTATTTTTAATGAAACTGATCCACGAAAAGTACCCAAGATTTCGCCCGGGAGGTGCTAGGAAGCAGCCAAATCAAACACGCGCGTCATCATGAAACATTTCAGGATCCACCATTATTCCCCATAGCTCACATATTCAAGCCCTCACACTAAGAAGCCCACGCCCATCACCTATAAAAAGTTTACCGCTCCAAATACATTAAAAAACTTGGCGAAAAGCTAACATTTTTAGAGCTCCACATAAGCTAACAGTCTCAACGTCAACCAACTGAATTCTCCAGAAGTTAATGATTTCGTTAATCACTTTCCACGTCCAAAGAAAGCGTTTATTCGCCAACGAATAGTTTAACCAGTTCACTGCGGCACTGACGTTTAACGGACTCCTGATCACATCCGAACTAGTGCTTCGTGTTGTGTTGTGTTGCGCAGCCGCATTCGGGGCGGATATTTTTTAGGGGGCGGGGGGTAGCGGACATTGGTGACAATCGACAGAGGTACGCGCTTAAACAGTTTGATAGCTTGGCATGGCCTGACTTCTTGATTTATGTCCTAATGTATGATGTTTGGAAGGCAAGCGGAAAAACACAACCGCCGGGCCATGTAACATTTCTGTCACTCCGACGCGCTGAATGTTTTCCAGATGTGCACACAAGCATCTCCATGCAGTTGCTTCCACGCTGTTGTCTTCCATGTTGCGTAAATCTGACATCAGTGCATAAAAACGTGCCGAGACACTCGAATCTGTGGCCGTCGCCAGACACAACATACCCAGGAAAAGGATCTGTTTCTTGGAAAAAGGTTCGCTTTCCCAGATTTGGCTTCAAGCCGGCGTACTGCAGACGGGACAGCGCCTCACCTTAGCACAGCTTGTTACATCGCATGGCACGAGGTCTCGGAGAGCTGGTGCCAGGCGGCGCACTGCAGACGGGACGGCGCCTCACCTTAACACCGCTTGTTACATCGCATGACACGAGGTCTCGGAGAGCTGGTGCCAAGCGGCGTACTGCAGACGGGACAGCGCCTCATCTGGTGATACCAACTGGCACCACCTGGCACTAGCTCTTGGAGAAGATTATGCCACCGGCGTGCACAGTGCAGCCTACAAAAAGTGAGCCAGTAGATAGACTATTTTACACGTCATCCTTGCGCGTTGTGTGATGAACAAGCAGGTTGAACAACGCACCCAGCTTGCGTAGGCTGGCAGACATGCGAATCATTGGCAAGAAGAGTCGTGTTGTCTCCAAGAAAATCCCGTTTTTCGGCGGGTCTGCTATCTTACGATATAAAGGAGCTAGGCGGCCAGGGCGAAGATGATGAAGACAGGACTTTTACTCTGACCCCAGCGTCCGGTGATCGAGAAGGAGCCTCGAACAGCCATCATTGGTCGTTTCCTGATCAATTACCGAGATGCACTAAATCGGAGATAGTCCCCGCTCGCGCTGGGCGTTTTTCACGCACGCACGCAACGCACGCACGCACGCACGCACGCACGCACGCACGCACGCACCACACGCGCCACACACACACCACACGCACGCACACACACACACACACACCCACACACACACACACACACACACACACACACCCACACACACACACACACACACACACACACACACACACACACACACAACACACACACACGAAAACACACACATACACACGAAAACACACACACACATACACACACACACACACACACACACACACACACACACACACACCACACACACACACCACACAAACACACACACAACTTAAAAGTAGCGAGTAGTACAACGCGTTTAGTGATCATTTCAACACCGTAGCATGAAATAGATCACCAAACCTTTCACAGAAACATTACAAGCTCATTGGAGGCGCGCGCTGCCAAAACGTGGGACGTCTCCGACAAGAAACACAGGCAAACGGCAGACGGCTGCCCATCACGCTACCCTGGCCGTCCCAACACGTGGAGCGCCGGAGGCAATAACCGCGCGGACCGCCGCCAGTACCGCTGACCCCGTGACCCGCTCAGCGTGTCAGATCCCTTCCAGTCGCACGCGGCGCGCACGAGCTCAGCGATCAGCGCGCAGGTCACCAGCAGCCGGAACGGCTGAGCAGCGACGACACGCCGCGGTCGTCTGGTGAGCGCGCGAGACGAAGACACCGCCTCACCGCACGGACAGGCGAGGTCAGTAATCACCCGTCCGAACGCTACGGTTCGCGGCAAGGCCGCACACGCGGGTCACCGAAGAGGTGCAGCACTGCACCACGGGTCACTGGAGGGGTACAGCACTGTACCGCGGGTCACGGAAGGGTGCAGCACTGTACCGCCGGCCACCGGAGGAGTACAGCACAGCACCCCCGCGTCAACTTGGAGGGGTACAGAACTGTACCGCGGGTCACCGGAGGGTGTGCAGCACTGCCACCACCGGCCACCGGAGGGTGTACAGCACTGTACCGCTGGTCACGGAAGGGGTGCAGCGCTGCACCGCCGGCCGCCGGAGGGGTACAGCACTGCACTGCGGGTCACCGGAGGGGTGCAGCAATGCACCACGGGATGGCGATTTTCATTGATACATCAATTCCCCACGTGCTGCGGCGGCTGACGTACGTTCTCACACTGCATGGCAACGGTATTTTACTAAGAGGGCACACAATGATATGCATATGCCACATCTTAAGATGCAACGCACAGCAGAGTACACCATACTCAATTCAGTGAAGGAAAGTGATT